CTCCAGCCCTGTCCAGCCTGGCCTTGGCACTGCCAGGGGCAGCCAGACCTGCTGTGCTCTGATCCTTGTGATAAGACATAAAGATGCCCTGGACTGTCTAAGCGGAAAAAACACCCCACACTAAACCAAAAATGTTGGGGCTGCCAGGCAGAGTGTGGGGATCAGCAGCTGCTGTGCCCAGCTGGGGGTGCCACAGCCAGGATCCCACTGGGTTTTCACCTTTTCCTTGCTCGTGAGCTGCACATTCAGCCCTGCACTGGGATCCCCAGGGAGTGGCAGGGAGCAGATGGGTTGTGTGGCACTGAGCTCCCTGATCAGCATCATTTCCAGGGGTTTGTGGCGTGCAGAGTGTCTGGGATGGTCTGGAGTTCATCTCGGGGTGCACAGAGCAGGATTTGTCAGGTGAAGGTCTCCCCCTCCTGTCTGCCCCTGAGCGAGGATGGGAGCAGGAGGAAAACCACTCCTCAGGCTCCTGCTCCTGAGCACAGGACAGGGAATCCCAGTGTGCAGCTGGGGGAGCTGCCTGCCCGGCCCCTGGGCTGGGAATGCCTGTGGGACCACCAGGGTGGCAGCTGTGCCCCTCACAGGGGTCTCTGCCAGGCTGGCTCCACCCTGGAGGGCTCTAACAGACCTGGGCAGGTGGCACTTGGGGACACGGGTTAGTGGTGGCCTTGGCAGTGCTGGGGGAATGGTTGGGCTCGATTTGAGAGGGTTTTGTAAACGAAACAGCTCCTGGGTGCTGTGATTGTGCAGGAACAGGGTCCCTGCACAGGTGAGGGCTGGCAAGGCTGGTCTGCAGGTGGGACAGGCAGATTCACCAGCCCTGGAGCTCTGGAAAGGAAAGATCCCAGCTCAAGGCTGACACCCAGGTCTAAATTAAGAGGCAGGAGCAAGGACAGACTTTGTGAGCACAGCGGGCCGTGAGTCATGGGTGAACTGTGTGCCCAGACTGCTGTGGGCAGCGGGCAGATCCCTGGGAGGATGGCTCAGGGCAGACAACAGCCCTCCCAGAAGGAGGCTGAAGGGGACAAAAGGGTTTTAGATGCCATGCCATGAGTCAGTGGCACCTGGGCACAGCAGCAGCCTGGCTCCCACAGCCTGTGAACCCTTTCTGCCCTGTCCTCGGGGACAGCTGCCAGGCTTTGGTGCTGTGGGCTTGGATTGCCTGGGGGATCCCAGCTTGCTCCTTTCCCCTCTCAGTCTGCTGCTCTCCCTGGGCAAGGGAGGGAGTCTGGGGGTGGGGAAAGCACAAACAGGAGGGGAAAGGGGTTCTGAGCTCACTCCTGGGTTCAGCCCCAGCAGAATGGGGGTTGGTACCTAATTAAAACAGAGGCCAGGCTTTAAGCTGGACCGTGGGTGCATGTTAATGATGCTCTGCTGGGGTTAGTGGGACTTTATTTAGCACTGGCTGTGTGTTAGCTGTTCTGCAAGGGAAGTCCTAAATATTGACCTTGGCACTGTCAGAGTCTGTCTCAGCCTTTCTCTGCCACCTTCACCAGATGGAAATGAAGCACTTTTGTTGTTCAAGGTTTTAGAGGGAAAGGCAGGACCTGTGGCAGACAGGTTTGTCACTGAGATGCCAGGTGCAGACTGTCCCTGCCTCCTCAGGAGGCCAGAGCTGCCTGGAGCCCAGGCACGAGCACAAGTGCCATCCCTTGGTGGGCAGTGCCACCCGCCCCGTTAAACACTGACAGAGTTTGGGCAATGCAAACCCTGCAAGGCACCCATTGCTGCTGCAGCTGCTCTGCATGGCCCTGGCCCCTGCTCTGCTTCTCCAACAGCTTCAAACAGCAGATTCTGGTGCTGGGAACAAGGGAAGGATTAGGAACTGAGCACCGAGCCAGGCACCTTTCAGATGGGGCAGAGGGAGCATTCCTGCATCAGCAGAGACCAGACAAAGGCATCACTGAACTGCTCATCAACAAATCCTTCTGCAAAGAGATTCTGATGTGAGGTTTCTCTTTGAAAGACAGACCCAGCCCCCACGATAATCCCCAATAGCTCTGCAGGGACAGACAATGCACACAGGATGCCCAAAATGCCCCAGCTGTGAGTCAGTGCCTGCTGTGCCCAGCAGGGACAAGTGCTGGTACCCAGGGCAGCCTGGGAGGTCAGGGCAGCCTTCACCTCCCTGGAATATACATTTATTTTCAGGGAATATTTACTAAAAGGGTTTGTATGATCCAGTGCAAGAGCTAATGTGCTGATGTGTTTTGAGGGCAATAAATGGGAAAAAAAAAAAAAAAGGAGATGGAATAAGCAAGGAAGACTGAAAGAGAAATGGAGGCTAAAGGTGAGGAGTCACAAGGAATTGGAATCACAGGGTTGGGAGGAAAATAAGTAAAGGCAGAGGAGTGCAAGAGAAAAAAAGGTTGATCAGAAATAAAAACAGGGACAGAAAAAATAGAGGCTGCAAAAGGGTAGAGGGCCAAGAAAGTGTGGGAGGGGGAAAGAAATGCAGAGACTGAAAAGGGCAGGAGGCCAAAATAAAGTGGGAGGCCAAAGGAAAAGTAGAGAGAAAAAAAGTGGAGGGTGAAAAGGGGTGGGAGGCTGAAGAGGCACATGGGACATACGGGAAGGCCTGCCCAGAGAGGGGTCTAAAGTTTAATGGGTTCCTCAGGCAGGACAATGTCCAATTGTTCTCCCTGCACACCGGGGCAGCCCAGCTTCCTCCCTGCCTGGAGCTGCAGGAACACAGACTCTGAATTTGGGATGGACTCTGTGCCTGCAGGAACACACACTCTGGGTTTGGGATGGACTCTGGGGCTGCAGGAACACACACTCTGGGTTTGGGATGGACTCTGGGGCTGCAGGAACACACACTCTGGGTTTGGGATGGACTCTGTGCCTGCAGGAACTCTCTGGGTTTGGGCTGGACACTGCTCTGCCCCAGCCAGACCCCGAGCTCTGCAAGCCCTCTGGATAAACTTTCCTTCCCAGCTCCACCCCAGCCCAGAGGATCAACCTTTCCTCCCTTGCTCCCTGAATGACTTTGGCCTTCCTCCCACTGCTGAGACCTTGATCTTCCTCCCAGCTGAGGCAGCCCCTGGTGCAGCTGGCTCTGGATCTTTGTCCTTGCTCCCAACCAGCTGAGCCAGGGCCCCACGGTGCCTGGTGGGGACAGGGGCAGGGAGGGACAGGGACAGGGGCAGGGAGGGGACAGGGACGGGACAGGGATGGGACAGGGACAGGGACAGACACAGGGGCAGGGACAGGAGCAGGAGCAGGGACAGGCACAGGGGCAGGGACAGGCACAGGGACAGGGACAGGGACAGGGACAGGGACAGGGACAGGGACAGGGACAGGGACAGGGACAGGGACAGGGATGGGACAGGGACAGGGACAGACACAGGGGCAGGGACAGGAGCAGGGACAGGAGCAGGAGAAGGGACAGGCACAGGGGCAGGGACAGACACAGGGGCAGGGACAGGAGCAGGGACAGGGGCAGGAGAAGGGACAGGAGCAGGGAGCTGCTGCTGCCCTCCACATCCCTTCACCTTTGCTAAAAGTCCCAAAGGAGCCAGGAGGCTGCGGGTGCTGCCAGGGGAAGGGGTGGTGGGGACATGTGGCCCCGGGGCTGTGCAGAGTCTCAGCCTGACACCTGCACCCCCAGCTGGGGAGATCCGAGCTGCAGAAATTTGTGTTTGGCATCTTTGTTTGGCTGAGAGCAGCTCACCTTTAGCCTCCATTTCTCTTTTAGTCTTCTTTGCTTATTTCATCTCCTTTTTTTTTCATTTTTTTGCCCCTTTATTGCCCTCAAAACACATTAGCACTTGCACTGGATCTTACAAACCCTTTTAGTAAATATTCCCTGAAAATAACTGTATATTCCAGGGAGGCAAAGGCTGCCCTGACCACCGAGGCTGCCCTGGGTACCAGCACTTGTCCCTGCTGGGCACAGCATGCTCAGAGCTGGTGATGAGGGGTTTTGGGTGTCAGGGCCATCAGGATAACCCCTGTGGTGTCATTTCAGTCATAAATCAGAATCACCACAGAATGGTTTGGGTTGGCAGGGACCTGAAAGCCCACCCAGCTCCATCCCTGCCATGGCAGGGACACCTTCCACATCCCAGGCTGCTTCACCCTGTCCAGCCTGGCCTTGGCACTGCCAGGGATGGGGCATCCCTAATCATACTTAATTGCCCAGAGAAGCTGTGGCTTCCCCAAACCATTCTAAGGTTCTGTGATTTATTTATTTTGCATCAAAAATGAACTATTTATAGTGCTGTGTCACTGCGACAATTTTCCTTTCTGTTTGTTGTTCTGTCTGATTGGGTTTTTTTTAGTTTGTTTGGTTTGTTTTCTTTTTAATGGTCCAAATATTGTGTTTTGCCATTTCAAATATTTGGGGTTTAGTCTATTTCTATTCAAATCCTGATCTAGGCTTCTTCTACCCAGAGCTTCAGGTGAATTTGCAGCAATTTGGAGACTGTCATTTGGATGATGCTCCCATCCCCGAGCCACTCCTCCCTCCCAGGATTTGGGGGCACCTGCAGGGATTTTGGGGGTTTTGTCCCAGCTGGGGGCAGCAGCACGGTGCCCCCCTGAAGCTGTCCCTGGGAAGGGCCCTGCTGCCCCAGCACAGCCCGACCCTGCCCGGGGAGCCTCCCTCTGCCCCCGGCCCCGGGCACCCCGGGACCCCCGAGCCTGCAGGGGAACCCCAGAGCACCCGGGGACCCCCGAGCCTGCAGGGGGAACTAAGAGCCTGCAGGGGAACCCAGAGCCTGCAGGGGGGACCCAGACTCTGCAGGGGGGACCCCTGCCCTGGACATTTGTGAGCATCCCGTGGGGCTCCGGGGGGCTGTCAGGGATCCCGTGGGGTGTCAGGGATCTTGTGGGGCTCTCAGGGATCCCGGGGTGCTCCGTGGGGTTCTCATGGATCCCGTGGGGCTCTCATGGATCCCGTGGGTTCTCAAGGATGCCGTGGGGCTCCGGGGAGCTCTCCGGGATCCCGGGGGGCTCAGCCCCGCTCCTGCTGCCCCGCCGCCCCCCGCACCTACCGGCGGCTGCGCGGCGCTCCGGCTGCGGCTCCCGAGGGCGCGGGGAGGAGCGGGACGGAGCGAGCGGGGATGCTGAGGATGAGGAGGAGCTGCCTCGGGGCGGGAGGATGCGGGGGAAGGAGGGGGAGGCTGGTCGCACCCACCCCCCCGGGGGCCGGCCACCTGCAGCACCGCCGGGCACGGGCGGCGCAGGGGCGGCGGCTGCGGCTGCAAAACCCCCGGAGCCGGGGCAGCATCGCCCTTCCTGCCCCTTCCTGCCCCTTCCTGCGGCTGGCAAACCCCCGGAGCCGGGGCAGCATCGCCCTTCCTGCCCCTTCCTGCCCCTTCCTGCGGCCCAGGACATTCCTGCGGCTCTGCGTGTCTCGGTGCCCTCCGGGAAAGCGACGAGCTCCCTCACCCCAGTGAGCCCAGAGCGCCCCGGGCAGCGGGGACGGCGTCCCTGACCTCCCCCGGGGTCCCTGCCCGCCCCGGAGGGTCCTTGCCATCCCCATGGAGGTTCCTGCCATCCCTAGGGGGGTCCCTGCCATCCCATGGGGTCCCTGCCCTCCCCGGGGCTGTGCCGGGCACGGCCGCGTTCCGCTGGCACCGGGCGAGCTTGGCCTTAAAAGCCGAAGCGCTCGGGAGCGCTGTCAGGAGGATGAAATGCAGCTCCGTGTCCCCAGGGACGGGCCGGAGCCTGCTGGCCCTGCTGGCCCTGCTGGCCCTGCCCCGGCTGGGGTCCCGGGTGGGCTCGGGGTGTGCCAGGGTGGGCTCGGGGCTCGGGGGGTGGGTGCAGATTGGGGTGCGGGGTGCGAGGTCGCTGCAGCAGCCCTGACGAAGCAGCCCTAATGAAGCAGCCCTAATGAAGCAGCCCTAATGAGGCACTAATGAAGCACGGACGGGGCCGGGCGGGGATTTCAGCGCTTGGCCGGGCTCCACGGGCCCTTTGATGCGGCGATGTTCAGGCTGCGTTATCTAAAGCTCGCTCGGAGCTGGCTCTGGCGGCGGCTCACGTGGAGCCAGCGTGTTTGGACAGGCATTCCGGCTGGAAATGCCCGCAGACGTTTGGATAAAACATTCCCGAGCTGGCCGTGGTTCCCAGGGCCTGCTGGGGACAGCTCCTAGGTGGATTCAGAGCTTCCCGGATATATCAATATACTTTTTGTTTCCCCCTTTATTTTTAAGAATCCCGCCCAAGATTTCATCTTGCTTTTTCAGAAAATAAAAAAATAGGTATAGCCAAACATCCCTGAATCTAACAGAAGAGCAGGCCTGGCTTTGCCTCAGGCTCTCCTGGACTGATGGGGTTTGTGAGGCTGTGGGGAAGGTTTGGAGATGCTGGTCCATTTTCTCACTCCTGCAGCCCAGCCCTCCCCACTCCCAGGGCAGCAGCCCTGCTTTGCAGGCGGTGTCCTGCCAAATTTGTGTCCTTTCTGCCTGTCCCCAAGGCCGATGGCCTCGGGATGGAGCCAAGAGCCCGAGCAGCGCAGACACAGAGCAAACACGGGCTTGGGCAGCGCCGGGCTCGGCCGAGAGGAGGCTCGGCCAAAACCCAGGCACGGACCTGCTGCAGCGGCCCCGGCCCTGCACCGAGAGCCAGAGGGATGGGGACACTGCAGGGGTGGGGACACCGCAGGGATGGGGACACTGCAGGGGTGGGGACACTGCAGGGGTGGGGACACTGCCCGGGACACTGCAGGGATGGGGACACTGCAGGGATGGGGACAGAATGGAAATGGGGAACACTGCCAGCGTGGGGACACTGCAGGGATGGGGACACTGCAGGGATGGGGACACTGCAGGGGTGGGGACACTGCAGGGATGGGGACACTGCGGGGGTGGGGACACTGCAGGGGTGGGGACACCGCAGGGATGGGGACACTGCGGGGGTGGGGACAGGATGGAAATGGGGAACGCTGCAGGGGTGGGGCCCGTTCAGGGGTGGGGGCACTGCCTTGGCAGCAGCTCTGTCCCCCCTGCCCTCCCCAGCCCAGCCCTGCCTGGGCAGTGCCAGCAGCACCTGCAGCAGGTGCCTGTGCTGTTTCTCAGCTCTCGGGGTGAATTTGATGGGTGCTGCTGCTCCAGTTCCTCTCCTGTCCTTGCCTGTGGTAAGGAGCCTGCTCTCCTCACGGCCCCCAGTCCCAGCAGTAAGAGCTGCTGTTGGAAGCAGTGAGCAATGAACCACGGAGCCCGAGGAGGCTGCAGGTGCTGCCCTGCTGGCCCCAGGCACGCAGGCAGTCCTGTGAGGGCAGCCGAGCCCCAGCCCCGCTGTCCTGGCAGCTCCTCATCCCCCAAACCACCCAAGCGAAACTTCCTGCACGTTTAGAGCGAGACCCTCGAGATCCTCCAGCCCTGCTTTGGTTCCATCCCTCCTGAATGATGGTCCTGGGGCACTGGGCGGGCACGGCTCAGCCCAGAACGGGCTGGAACAGAGCCCCTCCTGCTCCTGCCAGCCGCAGAGCCGGGGCAGAGGAAAGGAAACCCCGGCTCTGCCCAGCACCACACACATGGACGGGCTGCTGAGGAGCTGGGGAGCCAGGAACCTGCGGGAAAGCGCTGCCAAGCCCCGGGAATCCTTGGCGCTGTGCCAGGGTGGGAAGTGCGGGATGCTGGAAAAGGCACTCACCTGGGGAGGAGCGGGTGCGCAGGGCTGGCCGCTGGGGCTGACCCGCCCGGGGAGGGCAGCGATGTGCCGGGGTCACCCTGCCCCTCGCTCCACCTCCCGAGCCCGCCGGGGGCACAGCCCGGCCCCTCGCAGCGCCCGCGGAGCCCCGGGCCGGGCACGGGCACCGGGAGGGCTCCGGGTCCCGGGCTGGCACTGCCCGCTCCGCACCCGCGCAGGACGGGGCACTGTGGATGGATTCTCCTTCGCCTCGCTATTTTTTTCCTCTCATGTGATCTTGTTTTTGGACGGCTATTTTGGGGCTGGACTCCAGCCCAGGTGAAAGACAAGGATTGAATCCAGCCTCCCCCTTCCCGGAGGCGCTCCCAGGACCTCTGCCCGCCCGGCGGCGGCTCGGGGACAAACCCTGCCACCAGCCGTGCCACCATCCCTGCCACCAGCCCTGCCACCATCCCTGCCACCATCCCTGCCACCAGCCGTGCCACCAGCGCTGCCACCAGCCGTGCCACCAGCCCTGCCACCCTCCGTGCCCGCGGCCAGCTGTCCCCACGCTGCCACCAGCCTTTCTGTGCCCTGCTGCCCGGGGCTGATGGAGCACCCGGCCCTGTCCCCGCTGTGTCCCGCGGCCACCCCGCCCTGCGACACCCGGCGCTGGCGCTGGCACGGCGCGGCCGCGGCCCCGGAGTTGTGCCACCAGCCGTGCCACCAGCCGTGCCACCAGCGCTGCCACCCCGCCCTGCGACACCCGGCGCTGGCGCTGGCACGGCGCGGCCGCGGCCCCGGAGTGTCCCCGCGGCGTTTGCTCTCGGTGCCCGCTTCCCCCGAGCAGCCTGGCAGGAAGCTGCAGGGAGATAAATGCGTTAAAAATATGCTGGGAGCGTGCGGCAGCCTGGAGCGAACCGCGGCGAGCCCCGGGGCCACCAGGGACAGGGACAGGAGGGGACAGGGACAGGGACAGGGACAGGAGGGGACAGGGCAGGAGAGGCACGGCAAGGGACTTTTAAATTGTTTTCTTATCTCTGCTTGCCATGAAGCAGTTTTGTGTGAAATAAGGAATTGAATTCTCACATTTACCAAGTGCTCTCTTTTTGGGGGGACTCTCTCCGGGGCCAAAGCTCTCCTCCTGCAGTCTCCCCACATTGGGGTGTTTATAAAACAAGGGGGATTTTGGAGACCCGAAACTCCTGCGAAGCCACTTTTCCCTTCAACAACCTCGGAAGAGGGAAGAGGGGGAAGCCGCTTTATGAAGGTAACGGAGGTTTTAATGAAGGAAAAGAGGAATAAAACTGGCTGGGAAAAGCTCCAGGCAGAGGGAGGCGCAGGGAGAGCCCGGGGCCGCCAGAGGGCACCGCGGAACCGCAGCAGGCACAGCTGGCACAGCTGGATGGGGCGGGCACAGCTGGATGGGGACGGGCACAGCTGGATTGGGAGGGCACAGCTGAGTTGGGGCGGGCACATCTGGATTGGGACAGGCACAGCTGGATTGGGACTGGCACAGCTGGATTGGGATGGGCACAGCTGGATTGGGAGGCACAGCTGGATGGGAGAGGGCACAGCTGGATTGGGACAGGCACAGCTGGATGGGGATGGGCACAGCTGGAGCCATGGCACAGCTGGAGCCAGGGCACAGCTGGTCTGGCTGTGGCACATCTGGCAGCCGTGGCACATCTGAGGCCCGTGCAGGGGACGGTGCAGCACCCACAGCTGGAGCACATCTGGGTGGCAGCAGAGCCACCGTGCACAGCCGTCCCTGTGCACAGCTGGTGCCACACCGGGTGGACTCTGGTGGCCCAGGGTGCCTCTGGGGGCTCCCAAATCTGCTGCAGCTGCCCCAGGTGTGGGCTCTGTTCAGGGTGGGGCTGGGGCTCTGCCAGGCAGATCCCCTTGCCCTCCCTGATCCCTGCCAGAGCCTGTCCCTGGCCCAGGCAGACACAGGACAGTGATTCTGTTTGTCTTTGCCTGCTGTTGAACGTGGCTCAGTCCTGGCTCCTGGTCCAGGATCCCGTTGGAGTTTCCCAGTGCCCGTTTCCCAGGAGGGAGCAGCCCCTCCTGAGGAATGACTCCCAGCCTTTGTGTTTTAACAAATGACCCGAGACGCTGACCCCAGTGCTGTTTACTCGGCTGGGCATTAGCTCAGAGTCAGGAGCTGCCTCCCAGAGGGCTCTCCTGGGTACCCTGACCAGGAGGCTCTCCTGTAATTACATTCCAGGGAAAACAGACATCTCCTGATTCATTTAATATGTGCCATGTTGCATTTAGATATGTAACAGCCAGGGCACAGCTGGTCTGGCTGTGGCACATCTGGCAGCCGTGGCACATCTGAGGCCCGTGCAGGGGACGGTGCAGCACCCACAGCTGGAGCACATCTGGGTGGCAGCAGAGCTGGCTGCTCTGGCCCAGGGGCAGCGGGCGCAGCCGTCCCTGTGCACAGCTGGAGTCACACCGGGTGGACTCTGGTGGCCCAGGGTGCCTCTGGGGGCTCCCAAATCTGCTGCAGCTGCCCCAGGTGTGGGCTCTGTTCAGGGTGGGGCTGGGGCTCTGCCAGGCAGATCCCCTTGCCCTCCCTGATCCCTGCCAGAGCCTGTCCCTGGCCCAGGCAGACACAGGACAGTGATTCTGTTTGTCTTTGCCTGCTGTTGAACGTGGCTCAGTCCTGGCTCCTGGTCCAGGATCCCGTTGGAGTTTCCCAGTGCCCGTTTCCCAGGAGGGAGCAGCCCCTCCTGAGGAATGACTCCCAGCCTTTGTGTTTTAACAAATGACCCGAGACGCTGACCCCAGTGCTGTTTACTCGGCTGGGCATTAGCTCAGAGTCAGGAGCTGCCTCCCAGAGGGCTCTCCTGGGTACCCTGACCAGGAGGCTCTCCTGTAATTACATTCCAGGGAAAACAGACATCTCCTGATTCATTTAATATGTGCCATGTTGCATTTAGATATGTAACAGAAGCCCCATTACCTTAAAAGTCCTGCTGTTATCAAGTACTGACTTAATTACAGTTTTATCTAAAAATAGATCAAGTTAGCCTGACAGAATCCATTTGTCCTCCTCCCCTGCAGTTGCTGCTCCATCACGACCAGCAGCAATCCCCTGCCACAGCCTTGTCCCAAGAGCTGCTGAGATCCCACGAGTGTGTTTGCTGTTCCCTCAGCACCGTCCCCCAAAACTTCCCAAACACGGAATCACAGACTCATGGAATGGTTTGGAGTGGGAGAAACCTTAAAGCCCAACTTGTTCCAGCCCCTGCCATGGCAGGGACAACTCCCACTGTCCCAGGTGCTCCCAGCCCTGTCCAGCCTGGCCTTGGGCACTGCCAGGGCTCCAGGGGCAGCCACAGCTGCTCTGGGCACCCTTACATATAAAACAAATATATATATATATACATAAATATCCAAACACAGAGAGGCTGCTCAGGCTCAGCTTATCCAGCTCTGGCTGCTTTGGACCCCTCTGACCCTGGCAGCCAGGGAGTTCCCGTGGGCAGGACGTGGCAGTGCCCGCTGCTCCTTTGGCACAGCTGCTGCCGTGCCCAGCTCCCAGCCAGGGTGAGGCCTGCAGCCAGCATCGCTCCTCAGCATCACTTTCCTTCTCCTCTGGCTGTGGTGTGGTTTGCACAGCTTTTGTAGCTGCCCTCCAGGGCAAGCCAAGGCAGCTTTGTCCCCACCTGGGAAGGAAAGGGCTGCGAGCAGTGACTGCCATCAGCAGGAGTGGCTCTGAAGGAAAGGTGGCAGAGTCCCGTCTGTGAACATCCCCTCAGAGCTGTCCCAGCTGCTCCCTGTGCTGTGCTGGGCACTCTCTGCCTTGCCTTTTATTTCCCAAGTGCTTGACAACAGACAAAACCTTTCTCTGCTCCTTTGGCACGAGCAGGATGGGGCAGTGCCAGCGGGACTGGCTGGACAAGGATGGATGGAGCTGGAGGATCCCGGGCCTGCGAGGATCCCAGCTCTCCCTGTGAGCCCCTGGGGATGTTTCTTTGCCTCGGAAGGTTTTTGCTCCCTCGCTGGGTGAGGGAGGGCAGCTCACTCAGGAATGTCAGCTCCGCTCATTGCAGCGCTGGATTTTCTGCTCTGAACCCAGGAGGAAAGCAGAGCTGGGGCTGCTGTGTGTGAGGGCTGCTCCAGGAGATACCTCACTGCCCAAAACCTCCAAGAATTCCCCATTTTGTCTTTGTCAGCCCAGCTACTTGTGCAAACACTGTGGAGCCAGGGCTGGGCACACAAAGCAAGGTCGGTTCTGAGCCGTTCTCCTGGAACAGAGGCACTCGGGGCCGGCACAAAGGAACCTCTGTCTGTCCCCTGCTCTGGCATCCTGGCAATTAACGCGGAGAATTGCAGCGTGCCTTGTCCTGGGCGCTGAGTGCGGGGCCGTGCGGGGCCGTGCGGGGCCGGGCAGCTGGGCTGGGCAGGGTCTGGCTGTGCCCTGGCCCCCGCTGCCAGACCCGACTGGCAATCAATGAATGAATGAATAATGAATAGGAAGCTCACCTGTCCAGGAGAAGGGAGGGAAATCATCTGGCCTTCTACACCGAGCTGGGTTTCACTGGTTTCACCTACACGGAGCTGTAGGTCTGAAAACCAGAAAAATGGGGAGTCACCCAGGCAGAGCATCGTGGAAGGGAGCTCCTGGCCCTGCTCGGGACATTGCCACCCACCAAAGCACGGGTCAGAGGTGGGCGACCTGGCAGGGGCACTGGGCTGGTGCTACCCTGCTGGGGACACGGCAGTGCCAGGGAAGGGCAGCCCTGCCCTGCCCGGCTCCTGCTGGGCACAGCAGCCATCAGAGCCGAGCACGGCGCCCTGGAAGGGCTGCCGAGGCAGATAATCTGCAGCTCAGCTGTGACAGCCTGCCGAGCGTGGCACAGCACTGTCACCACCATTATCAGCACGGTAATTGGGTGCCCAGGCTGGGCTGATATATGTAAGGACTCCTGAGTAATGAAGAAATAGTCTGCCTTTTTGTTGGGGGGGTTGTTATTTTCACTTTTTAATTTAATTTTTTACTATGTAAAGTCCCTGGCAAACCTCCCTGCAGCTGATAAAGGCAGGAGGAGTGAGGGGATTAAAGGTACAAAAAGGAAGGCAAGGAGGAAAAGTAATGCTTAAGGGTACTGTAGAAACTGCAGTTCACCCATGTCCAACCCACCAGGAGACAAATATTTAATTGTACAGTAAATAACATATTTTTATGGTTCCAAACCAAATCTCAGAGGCCACATGAATATAAACAGGCATGAGATCAGCTCAGCCCTTGGTCCTCCTGCATCTGCCATGGGATGGGGACAGCAAAGCACAGCAGGGGAATGAGGAGGGCCAGGCCTGTTAAGTGGAAATTGTGACTGGGGCTTGGGGACAGCTTTGGGGACTGCTGTCTGAGAGGAGCGTGCTGTGAGGGGACGGGCATTTCCACCTGACCCTGGCCAGGTGACCCTCAGCTGGGCACAGGCAGAGGGGGCAGTGGGCCCGTGTCCCACCCCTCCCTTTACTGGGCTGTGTCCCCCTCCTTTACTGGGGCTGTGTCCCATCCTTTACTGGGCTGTGTCCCCTCCTTTACTGGGCTGTGTCCCCCCCTTTACTGGGCTGTGTCCCCCCTTTACTGGGCTGTGTCCCCTTTACTGGGCTGTGTCCCATCCTTTACTGGGCTGTGTCCCCACCCTTTACTGGGCTGTGTCCCATCCTTTACTGGGCTGTGTCCCCCCCTTTACTGGGCTGTGGGCTGGCACAGCTCCCGGCTCCTGTTTTCCTTTTAATAATCATTAACTTTAAAGATCCAAATCCCTTTTCTCGTTTTTCTTCCCTTTTCCTGTAAGTCAGCCGGGCTGCCCCAGGCTGGCTCAGCCCTCGGGGACAGCCCAGCCCCTGGGGACACCCGGGTCCCCTCTGGCTGTGCCACCGCTCCCGGCTCTGCCAGCCCCGAGAGGGGACACGCCAGGGACAGGCTGAGGCACACGGGCACAGGGGGTGGTGACACTGGGGGTGCAGTGACACTGGGGGTGCAGTGACGAGGGTGCAGTGACACCGAGGGTGGCACTGGGGTGCAGTGACACTGAGGGGGTGCAGTGACACTGGGGGGGGTGCAGTGAAACTGGGGGGTGTGTGCAGTGACACTGGGGTGCAGTGACACTGGGGGTGCAGTGACACCGATGGTGACACTGGGGTGCAGTGACACTGGGGTGCATCCCTGGCAGTGCGCTGCAGGGCCAGGCAGGGGCAGCCGGGACTGGCCCCGTGAGCCCCAGCCCCAGGAACAAACCCTTTGTCTGGGCTTCCGGGCACGGCTGGGATGGCGAGTGGGGATTTCCACAGGAATTTCCAGAGGCTGTTTGAAGATATTTTTACGCAGGAAAGGCAGTGGCCTTGCCTCACCATGAGAACTGAAACACTTTGCACTGAAGCTGGCAGGAGGGAGCTGCTGTGGAGTGCCCCGTGTGCAGGGCTGGTCTCAGTGCTGGGGAGGGGAAATCTCCATCCAGATTCCAGGAGCAGAGGCAGAAAAGGAGGGAGCAGTGAGGGCTGGGGTGCTGAGCAGCCCCAGGAGGAAATTGCTGTTTCCAGAGGGAGAGGCAGCGCCTCCAGCCCCGCGGGTCGCAGCACGGCTGATGCTCAGCAGACAGCTCTGGAGCCCCTCCAGAAAGGAAACTGCAGTTTGCTTTGGGAACTTCTGCTTCTCATTCCTGGAAACACGGCCTCAGCTCAATTTCACAGCGGTTTGTGACGTTTTTCCAGTGGTTACACAAATTTTGGGAAAACATTCCTCTCCTTGGAATTGTCTTGTGATAATAGAACCCTGCTTAAGTGCCTGGAGGTTTCAGATGGCTTCACAGCCCTGCAGAGGGGCCTGGGAGGAGCAGCCCCCTCTGCCTGGCACGGGTCCTGCCTCCCCAGGCACAGGAATCCTCGGGGATGGGCTGTCCTTGAAGCTTTTCATGCTGCAGGTGCTGAGCCCTGGCACAGCTGGGGCTGCCCCTGGATCCCTGGCAGTGCCCAGGGCCAGGCTGGACAGGGCTGGGAGCACCTGGGACAGGGGAAGGTGTCCCTGCCATGGCAGGGCTTGCAATGAGATGTCCCTGGATGCCTTTTGTGTCTCTGGGCTCCCAGGTGCTCTGGGAAGGGCTCCCTCTGCACAGGTGCTGCAGGTGTCAGTGCTGGTGGGGGCCAGCTGGGGTGGGCTAGAAATGCTGCTGCTCTGGCCACCCCCAGCTCCTGCCTGGGCCAGCTGTGCTGGCCACCCAGCCTGGGGGCACTGGGAGCTGCTGGAACCCTCCCTGGAGGCACTGGGATGGGGCATGTGGGTGTCTAATGCAGGGGTGCCCAAAGCTTTCCTGCCTTGGGGCTGGGCTTGGTGCCCCTCTGGGCACTGCCTGCTGCTGTTCCAGCTGCCAGGGGCCCAGGTGGGTTTTTGTGGGGCAGGAGGAGGCACTCGTACACCCCCAGCTCCCTGGGCTCCTGCTGCTCTGCCTGGTGCTCCCTCTGCTCCCCACACCCCCGTGTCACACCTGGGGAGTGTTCACCCACGGGGCACCACCAGACCAGAGCTCCCTGGGGAACGTGGAGAGGGGCTGATCTTTTATTTTTGGAGAGAAATGAGTGGCAGCTGCTTGGCTGGGCCTTTGGGGGGATTCTGTATTTCTCCCAAAGGGGAGAGCAGGAATAGGCAGACTGTTCAGCCTTTCCTGACAATGAGGCTTTGTCATCTTTATAATTAACCCTGTTATTTAAATACTTCTGCCACGGATATCACTGACAATTTCATAGCCCTTGGTTCCTTTACTTTTCCATTTCAGCTTCCTGCACTGCAGTGACTCCCAGGGGCGTGACTAATTTCACTTTTCCATTTAATTGAGAGCTTGTTTCTGACTTTGTGTGTTTAACTGTAGCTTGGCCAGCTGCTCGATGCCGCTGCCCAAAATGCACCTGTCAGGCCTTTTCTTTTGCTCCCAGGGAATTTAGAGAACATCTATGACCAGCTCTTTCTTCAAAAACATTTCATCACAGTGAGGTGATGTGGGTTTTCTGTATTGCTGTGTGCCCACCTCCCCCCTTAAGGAATTAATCAAAAGAATCCTGAGCTTGAAACTCGTTGTACTTACCTGTCACTTCTATTTTTCTGTCACTTCCCTGAGGGCCTGTGGTGATGTTTCCTTTGCCACCTCTCTGGCAGCTCTGGAGTGGATTCCCTTCTTCCCCTCCCTTGCTAAACATCCACCACCCTGCTCTGCAGAATCCTTGTGCCAGCGATGGATGGAAAAGGATCTGGTGAAGCTTGTGAGCAGTGGAAGCTCAGGGATGAAGGGAATGATGCTGCTGGAAGCCCAGCCTCCTTCAGGATGAGCTGTCACCTGGACCACAGCAGGGGGACAGTGATCTCCAGCAGCACTGACCCTGTGCTGGCCTGGAAGGTGAGTAAATACACAGATACACGTGTGAAAACAGTGGAACTGTGGCTGTCCCATCCCTGGAGTGCTCAAGGCCAGGCTGGACAGGCTTGGAGCAGCCTGGTGCTGTGGAAGTTGTCCCTGCCATGGTTGGAACTGGATGATTTGGGAGGTTCCTTCCAACCACACTGTTCTGTGAAGCTCCTCTGTGTGTTCTTCCTGCACCGTGTTCAGTGTGCTGAATGCCTCCAGACATGCCAGCTCCTGAGCCAGCAATGTCCCACCCTCACCTTCATCCCATCTCCAGAGCTGTGCCCTTGCAGGCACTCCTTCCTGGTGTGAAAGCCAGCCTGTGTGATAATGCAGAGCTTTGTTCTGTGCCACATGTGTGCACAGCCCTGGTAGCATTGACAGTGGCAATGCTGCCCCAGGGGACAGAGAAGGGTCATTGTGGCTCCGTCAAACAGGGATTTGTGCTGCTGGGGAGACTGAGCCTCTGCCACCCCCATGAGGCACTGCCCTTTCAAATGATCATTCTGGTTGGTGAGTTATTCTGTGTCCCATTCCTGGCCAGAACAGGGTGAGCACAGCCCCCAGCAGGGCAGTTCTGAAAGCTGCTTCAACACAAGGCTCTCAGGGCACCTTTGATCACTAGTCATCAATGCCACCACTGAATGAGGGGACACAAAGCAGACATTGAGAGTGGCAGCCGGGCTCCAGCACCCTGAGCATCATCCTGGAAACAAAAGTCAAACTTGACATCAGGCAGGGAGAAGCCAGAGGGGTTTGTGAGTGTCCCTGTGCTCTGAGGAGGATCCTGGCTCGGGGCTCTGTCAGCAGGCAGGGCTGGGGTCACACGTTGGGACAGGAGGAGGGAGCTTTGCAGCTGGACAGGTGTCGGAGCAGAGTTTCAATCTTAATGAAGCAGTAAATATGTAAGTATGATGCCCCTGAAACTGGGGAAGGGGCAGACAAGCAGCACTCTGGGGAATTGTGCCAAAATGGACAGAGCTGGGCGAGGTGCCACCCGTGCAGTGAGACGGGAGCAGGGCAGCAAAGCTGAGGGCAGCAAAGCTGAGGGCAGCTCGAGGGTCAGGGCTGCACGCTGCTGCCCAGGGTCTCAGCTGAAGGGTTTCCTTCTATTTTTAACAGGAATCAAAGCAAACAAACCTTGCCCACTGGCTGAAAGCACAGGCAGCAGCAGCCTCTCTCCAGCCTGGCTCCTGCTCTATCTGCTCTGACACCTGCCAGGGAGATGAGAGGGAACTGCCTCTTCTGGAGACAGCTCCCCTCTCTGCACGGCCTGGGGGCTTTGTCCTGGGCATTCCTGCTCTCCCTGGGCTCCAGCTCCCCAGGGGCACGTGCCAGGCCTGGCAGAGGAGCTGGGCACGTCCCGGGTGAGCGTGGCAGGGCACGAGCAGGAGGTGAAGCCAATTAGCTGAAACAGATGAGAGCTCAGCTGTGGTTACAGCCACGTGCAGGGGCGAGGAACTCATGGCCCAAGGCGTGAACACGGGCTCAGGGCCCTGTGCAGATCCCTGTGGCACCACAGGCTGACTAACAGGAGATGGCATTGATATTTCCCTTCCACGGGAAACCAGTTCCAAAACCAGTTCCAAACCTGTGGTGGCTGGGGAGACTTGGCAGCACAAGTGGGAATGATGAGTACGGCAAAAAATCATGGGAGGTGATTAACGAGGGTGAGCTGGGAGCTGGAGAGGGGTTGGGAGCAGAGACCCCAGCCCAGTTTGCTTTTCATTTTGGGGGGAGCTGTCCCCCTGCAGAGGCTCAGCTCTGTCACTGCTGTTCCCGTCTCCTGTCTCGTCTCGCCCACCCCTGCAAATCTGCCTGAGGGCCAGGAGGAGTGACTGCGAGGAGAGAAGTGAGCTGCCGAAGGGAAAAAAAGGAATTGAGTAGGTGGAAATTCATGTGTGACTGTGAGAGGTGCAGCAGTGAGGAAAAGTACTGCTCCACTCTGAAATGTCTGCAGCTGAGATGATGCTCACTGAGCTGGCGAGGGGCGGTGCAGGGAGCCCTGCCACCCTGGGGGTGCTGCAGTGACAAACAAGAGTACACCCACAGCACGTTGCAGGACAGCACGGGGAAGGGGAAGCCCTTGGTGCCTGCCCCAGAGCTGCATTCACAGCCCAAGGTCACGGATCAGAGCTCTCGGAGGGCTGTCAGCACAGCAGGTCAATGCACACCCCTGGCCTCACAATGGGGAATTCGAGGGGATCCCCTGTCATGGTCTAATGTATTATCTGGAGCAGGTTGTTTTATTTTTGCCATCCACAATGCCTCATCTGTGTCTAGCCCGATAAAAGGAGTCCTGGGAGCAAGGAAGATGTGAGTGTGATACACAGGCACATAACAAGCAGACCTTGAACATTGCTGCCCGAGGGCAGTTCCAAGAAAGCTCTGGTGTGGCTCCTGCATTCTGGCAGTCGGGATGCCTGCTGCTGTCTCGGGGGTTCCATGAAATGCATTAGTGCCCAGGCTGTGAGACCCGGAGCAGCGGGCGGGTGTCCACCCTCCTGCCCCTGTGACACGGGTTCTGGCTTTCCCAGGGTGGGAACGCTGCCGGGACGGGGGCAGCTGCTGGAGGGAGGCTCCAGGACCTCGGGGACGAGGGTGCAGCTCCTGGCCAGGCTGGCTGTGTGGGGCTGAGCTCAGAGCCAGCCCCTCTGTCTCTCCGAGCTGCCAGGGCTGGCTCCTCACCCCCCGCTCCTGCTGCCACTCCAGCTTGCCCTGGCTGCTGCACTTGGCTGGCAGAAAGCTTTCCCGGGGCAGAAGGGGCTCCTCTGCCGCGGCAGGAGGGATGTGCCACCCGCGAGGGCCGGGGTGCCGAGGTGGGAGATGCTCTGCTCAGACGAGGGAGCTGCTCCAGCTGAAAGCTCACGGGGAGAATTGCTGTTTTTCAAACAGACCGGCTGGATCCAGCTGGCTGTGGGACCCACCCAGAGATAACGCTGGGGACAGCAGCTGGGGCTGAGCTGGTGCTGCTGCAGGCACAGAACCCCAGACTGGTTTGGGCTGGAAAGGGGCACAGAGATCACCAAGTGCCAGCCCTGCCTTGGCAGGGACCCCTCCCACTGTTCCAAGTGCTCCCAGCCCTGTCCAGCCTGGCCTTGGGCACTGCCAGGGATCCAGGGGCAGCCCCAGCTGCTCTGGGCACCCCAAGCCAGAGCCTGCCCACCCTGCCAGGGAAGGATTTCTTCTTAATATCCCATCTAACCCTGCCTTCTGGCTGTCTCCCCCTTCCTTCCACAGCCCCCACTCCTGCACCAGCAGTTATTTGATCCAGAGTCACCTCATCTAGGTGACTCTGGATCAAATAACTCTCTCTTTCTCATTTTTTCATTATTTTAATGCTGCAGTGCTTTTCTGCAGATGTTCCCTGAGCGGGTGAGCTGTGGGATGTGGGCTGGTGAGTGAGTGAGTGAGGGAGAATGTGCTAATGTGTGGTCAAGGACGGCTCAGGGTGGGAGTGTGGGATTAGGGCAGCCACAGCTCTCCTCTGTGGGGAGGCTGTGTGGGCACAGCCCTGCAGGGGCTGGCAGGGCTGGCTGTGGCCCCTGGCACGAGCTCCCAGTGCCCAGGGCTCTGTGCAGGGTGCCCAGCTGACCTGGCTCGCTTGGGGTGAGACAACCCAGCTGCTGGAAAGGACAGATCAGAGCAGGCAGGGGTTACAGAGGGAGGCAATGCTGTCCTCCACAGGCAGCAGCATGTGGCACTCTGGGGCGTTGCTTTGCTTATTTTTCCCTGCAGTGATAAATGTTCTGAGGAGTGTGGTGGGATTCTTGGGGTGTCCTGTGCAGGGCCACGAGCTGGGCTCCATGGTCGCTGTTGGTCCCTTCCAACTCAGGATTTTCCATGGTGTTCTTTTGCAGTTTGGATGCACAATCCCAGGGAAACAGGGCTGGAAGGTGTCCCGTGGCTGTTTTCGCCAGTCCTGCTGCCCTGCTCTGCTCCCACATTCGGAGCTCAAACACAAGGAGTGTCTCCTGGTGAATGCAGCCAGGACCAGGGGAGAGGATTCCTCACTGCCCGCCTGAGGCCTCAGTTCCAGCGTGGTGCTTCATGTGAGGCAGAGCTTTGTATGGCCTCGATTCTGTCCTCTTCAGAAAATGACAGTCTAGGCATCATCATTTTCTGTGGTGCTGAAAAAAATTCAATTTCGAGCCCCAGATATTTGCATCCTCTAAGGCAGTGTCCTATAAATCTAGTTACAGGTTCTTCCCTATTAGCAGTACATGCTGGAACACTTTTGAATGTGAACAATGGTGATGGAGAAGGATAAAACCGAAATAGTGCTCCTGTGGCTTTGTGCAGGGTAGAATTAGGGAACATAATCCAAATAATAACATCTCATGCTTTTATGGGGCTGTGTGCATATGGCGTAGATGACAGCTCATTAAACTTTATATCCTGCCTACAAGATAAGCATGTAATTAGTATTACATCCTTTTTTATAATTAGGAGGCCTCATCCAAAAAAATGTGGCTCACAAGCCATATTTGAAGGCGGTGACTCAGCCTGAATTAGGCTGTGCTGAGAGGATGGAGAGAATCGTGCTTTGAGGGCTGAAAAAACAGAGACAAAAGGTTGAGCTGGTGTCAGGCTCCTGCTGGAAACCGCAGGTGGATGAACTTTTGAACACCGGGTGTGGGCCGGACCGAGCTCGGTGCGGAGCATCCTGCGGGATAGGCTGGGCTGCGGGAATGCCCGGGGCTCGCCGGCCTTCCGTGCTGCCCGTGGCACGGCTGAGCAGGGACACGGGCACTGGGGGACCGGGGGACCGGGGATCGTCCACAGCCCGGGGGAGAGGGCACCGCCGGCATCCCTGCTGGCACAGCCTGGAGCACCGGGCATCCCTGGCATCCCTGCTCGGCCAGCCCGGGGGAGCGGGTACTGCCTGGGGGAATCGGGCAGATCCTGGGGCACCGGGCACCCAGCATCCCTGGCATCCCTGCTCGGCACATCCCGGGGCACCGGGCACCGGGCATCCTTGGCATCCCTGCCCGGTACAGCCCGGGGGGCACCGGGCATCTCTGGCATCCCTGCTCGGCACAGCATCCCTGCGGCCCGGGCGCTCCGTTCCTGAGCGGGTGCCGGTGTTCTTGCCCGGTTTACTCCCGGGCTCGGGCGCTGTGCCGCTGTCCGGCCCCCAGCAGGAGCAGCTGTTCGGGCGGCCCCGGGCAGCTCCGGCCGGGAAGGAGGCGGCGAGCCCGGGCCGCGCTCCTGGCACGCTCCGAAGGCAGCGGGCGGTGGGGGAAGGCAGCGGGGCTGTGTGTGCGGTGACAGCACCCACCTCCCGAGGGCAGCGGGGCTGTGTGTGCGGTGACAGCACCCACCTCCCGAGGGCAGCGGTGACAGCCGTGCTCGGGGGATGCTCTGGGGCCGGGGCCGCGCAGCTCCGCCCGCCGCCGCTCCGCAGCCGGCCCTGCCGGCAGATTACGGGCTCAGCCTCTCAGACCGCAGCGCTAAGCCGGGGCAGTAATCTCCGGCACAGATGTGCCATGATGGGAGCAGAGCCGTGCCAGCCGCCAGCCGGCCGGGCGCGGGGCGGGCCGGAGCGGCGCTCCCGCAGGCCGGGCGCGGGTTTCCCGGCGGCGGGGCCCCGCTCCCCGCCGCCCTGCCCGGCCCCGCTCCCGGCCCCGCGCTCCCGCGGCAAGAGCCCTTCCGTTCCGCGTTTCCTCCGGATTTCTGCGTGCTTCGCCCCGCCGTGCCCGGCAGCATGGGGCTGCCGGCGCTGGAGTTCAGCGAGTGCTGCCTGGACAGCCCGCAGTTCCGGGAGCGGCTGCGCTCCCACGAGGCCGAGCTGGACAAGACCAACAAGTTCATCAAGGAGCTCATCAAGGACGGGAAGTCGCTCGTCGCCGCCCTCAAGAGTAAGTGCGGGGCTGGGGGCGGCCCTGCGGGACCCCGCGACCCCCGCCCGGCCCCGGCCCCGCCCGGGGCTCCGCCAGCCGGGACCGCCCGAGCCCCCGCTGCGGGCTGCGGGGTGGCCGGGCCCCGCTCCCGGTGCCGGTGCCGCTCCCGGTGCCGGTCCAGCAGGACGTGCGGTGCCCCGGGATGTGCCTGCCGTGCCCCTGGTTCTGCCACCGGCGCACGCCCGGGCCTGGCCCTGCTCCGTCCGGGGGCATGCGGGTCCCGGTCCGGTCCATGAGATGTGCATGGTCCATTGGCACGCGTGCGGTTCTGGTTCTGGTCCTGGGCTCGCATCCCTCGGGAGCGGCTTTTGGGGGTGGGTGGGTGCCTGGCTCCCCTCGCCCCCCGCTTGTCCCGTGTCCGCTCGGGGCGGGGATGCCCGGAGCCCCCGTGGCCGTGCCCGGCTGGCCCCTCCGCTGCTGTCCCTGTCGCCGAGGGAAGGCGGAGGCGGGAGGGGTGGGATGCAGCGATGCGGCTCCGGGGCCGGGGACAGCCTCACCTGCGGCCGGGGACAGCCTCACCTGCGGCCGGGGACAGCCTCACCTGCGGCTGGCAGCGTCCCGCTCCGCCCTGGTGCCCGGGCTGGGCTGCTGCTGTCCCCACAGGGGACACCTCTGCTGGCTCCCCTTGGCAGCGCTGGGTGGCTGTGCCCTCGGGGTGCTCTGCTGGCTGAGCTGCTCCCCAAGCTCGGCTCTGTTTCTGCTGTTCCCTCATTGGGGTTTTCTCTGTTTTTAAGTTTTTCTGGCCCAAGTCACGGGGTGCGTCCCCATCCAGGGGGGTGCCGGTACCCTGATGTGCCCCTGTCACCCCAGCCTGTGCCGGGGTGTGATGGGCACGTCACAAACACAGGTGCCCTGGAGCCCCTGCAGCATCAGCTGCCGTGAGCCAGCCTGGCCAGGGCCGCTGTGGGGCTGTGGGACAGCGAGGTCACCCAGGGTGCACGGGCAGGGGGAGCATTGCCACCACCCTGTCCATTCCTGCTCCCTGCCCTTCTGATCCCACACCCAGCCCCAGGGGTGTAGCTCCCCTGTGCTGAAGTAGCAGCTGGCAACATCTGGCTTACAGGGACTCCCATTGTGGCAGTTCTTGGCATTTGGGGTTAGAAGAATCTCAAACCCAACAGCTGTGGGTGCGTTTATGGCTCTGCAGGTCTGAGCTGTGCTCTGCTGTGGAGCGTTTGCTGCAGGCAGCAGTGCCTGGCCCTGCCTGTAGCATTCATTTTATCCCAGAACAAATCCTACAGCACTGTTCTTGACAGAAAATACATTTTGGGAGTGAGCTGCTGAGTCCCGAGGTGTCTCTGGGCTCGGCCAGGTAGCTTGTGGCAGGTGCTGGCTGAGCTGCTGGCTGTGCTCTGCCCTGGGCACGCTGTGTGCAGTGTTTTGGGGGTGCTGGGAGCCCCTGTGGGCTCGTGGCTGCCCGTGGGCTCCTGCCCCCTGGCCGTGGCCGTGCTGCACACCCCAGCTCGGGCAGGAAGAACGCTCGCTGGCCTCTGGAGATAAGGATGTTTTTATGGCTGGATTGTTTTGCAGCTCCTATTGAATGTGTTCCTGGATTAGCCCTTAATTCCTGCCCAGGGCTGGGGGGAGTTCCAGTGGTGCCCAGGCTGCGGGGACAGCAATAATGCTGATTCTGCTGCAGGGTAAATCAGTGCCCAGGCGCCAGCCCTGCCTGCCCTGCTGCCACCTCCCCAGCACGTGTGGCACCGAGGTGGCCCCAGGACACTCTGGGGGAGGGTTTGGGCCATCTGGGGCAGGGCACTGCCCGGGAGGCTGGGAAGGGCTGTCCCCTCCCTGGCTGGGGGGCTCGGCCCTCTGTGCATCCTTCTCCTGCTGTAGGAGTGACTGCAGGGGCTGTGGGGCTGTGGTGCCTCCCCCTGATCCCTGGAGCTGGGGGGGATCTGGGCTGGAGCTGGGGGGGATCTGGGCTGGGGTTGGGTGGGATCTGGGCCAGCTCTGCCCACAGGTGTCACCCTCAGCGTGTGCCAGGTCCCAGCTCTGTTGTGTGAGCCCCTACAGACCCTTCCAGTGTCCAGCAGCAGGGATGGAGATGCTCCAGGGGTGAGGAGCTGCTGTGCTGCCTGTTGCTGGTTGTTGTATCTGTGCCACGGCTGCAGGGGCTGGGATGTCACCCCTGTGAGCCAGTGCAGACTGGGGCCACTCCTGACTGTGACCAGGGCCGTGTTTTTCTTAGCCAGTTTTATTTTTTAGTGGTGTTTCCAAGTGGTTTTGGTTTGTCTCCCCATGGCTGGCCATGGTGGCCTTGTCCCCCTGGCACTGTCTCCGTGCTGCTCCTCCCGTGGCTGTGGAGCTGGGCAGGCCTGGGGCAGCAGACCCTGGCTCAGGACGTGCTGCCCGTGGCCTGGGGGGTTCTGGGGCTGTCTGGCCCTTGGGCAGTGTGAGGTCTTTGCAATATCCTCTCTCGTTTTCCTTCCTCTTGCCTTTTCTGCTGAATGTTTCACATCCTCTTTGCACGAAGGCAGGCGTGGGGACAGCGTGTAACTGCTGCTGGTGAGGGGCTGCTGGGGCTGGCTGCAGGGAGGAAGATGAGGAGGGAGGAAGAGCCCTCTGCAGAGCAGCAGCACGGGCATGCAGGGATGGTGGGACTGGAGTAAGGACATGGAGCAAAGTCTCTGCCAGGGTTTGTGAAAGGGCTGCTCTGCCCTGCTTTTGCCCTCAGTGTAGGTACAGAGAGAAACAGGAATGATTCACAGCACTTTCTCCTTCCCTGAGAAGAAAGAATAAATTCAGAAGGTTGAAAATGATCCTCATTTGCTGAAGGGCTGCTCTTGCTAAATATCCTCAGATGGCAAGGGCATCTGTGGAGTGTGTGTGTCTGTGTGTACATGAATGCTGTTGGATCTTTTTCCCCCAGTGAGTTTCTGTGCCTGTTTCCATTGTCTCCCTTTGCTGCCTGGCTGGTATTCAGTGACCTGGTTTCCAGCAAAACGTGTCCCTCTTCCTCCCTGATCCACCATCCATAAATTATTCAGAAAGTTTTGCAGATGCAGAGACTTCAAGTGTGACATAAATAATGAACTCGAAGCCTGGGTGCCGTGAAACTCCTTCTGCAGCACAGGAGCTGTGGTGACCAGCAGGACCAGGGAGGCTGAAGGATTTCATCCCTTTGCATGTCCCTGTGGCTGTGTGGGGGCCAGGCAGGCAGCCAGTGGCTTGTCCCTGTGCTGGCATCACCTGCAGCCCTGTGCTGGCATCACCTGCCCCTGTGCTGGCATCACCTCCACCCCTGTGCTGGCATCACCTCCACCCCTGAGCTGGCACGGAGGGGGAGCTGGAGCTGGGCACACACAGGGTGACGTGGAGATGCCCACAGCTTGCTTTGGGAACCAAGCAGCACCCCTAGGGATGGAGGATGTGGGGGTGCAGGGCTGCCAGCCATCGCCTCCCCCGTGCTGTAGCACAGGGCTGAGCCTGGCACCCTCCTCCTCCTCCTCCTCCTCCTCTCCTCCTCCTCCCCGTGCTGCCAGGCGCCCTGTCCCTCTGGCCATGGGGCTGCTGTCCCCTTCAGGCCTGGGTGCAGCCTGGTGCCCTGCCACGTTTCTGCTGGTTGGTTTTGCTCCTTCCAACTCCAGGCACTAATTTGAAGCCACCAAACCCGTCCACGCCCCGGCTGCTGCCATGCCCCCACGGCACAAACTGCAATTTGTGTGCTGGGGCTGGGCTGCCTTTGTGAGCCCCCTCCCCACGAGGGTCCTGCTGGGGCTGTGCCATGCCCTGGGTCCCACGGGAGAGGCACAGCTGGGCTGGGCTGCTGTTCTGGGTCCCTTTTCCTCTTGCTGTTTTGGGTCCCTTTTGCTGTTTTGGGTCCCTTTTCCTTTTGCTGTTTTTCTGGCCAGGTAACCCCAGAGCTGCAGCGAGGAGGGATGGGACCAAGGGGGTGATGCTGGCCCTGCATCCTGCAGTGCCTGGGGACTGCTCTGGCCCTGCTGGCCTCTGGGGCACATGCTGTGGCACTGTCCCACAGGTGCCCTGCCAGCTGTGCCCCCCACCATGCTGGCTGTGGGGACAGCTGAGGTTTGCTGTCAGAGAGGTGTGCTGTGCCTTCTGTCTGTCCTGCAGGGTGTGTTTTAATGAGTGCCCCCTGTGCTGACCCCTGTGTGCCTGCACGGTGCTGTGCTGCCCTGGGAAGTGCCAGCAGGGCTTTTGCTGCAGCTCTGGGGTGTTCCCTGGGGCACATCCTGCTCTGGGGGTGCTGTGCATGCAGCTCTGAGTGGGCAGTGGGGTGCTGGGGTCGTTCCTGGTGCTGCTGCTGGTGTTCCAGACTCGGGGATGTGCTTGCACATGGGTTCTGTTCCACATCTCTGCAGCTTCTTGCTGAAACAGAGCGTTTGTGAGGTGTCTGTGCCCTGGCAGTGCCCTGGCAGTGCCCGTCCTGCATGGAGCTGGCCCTGGATCTGCAGCACACTGCAAGCGAAAGCGAAACTTTTGCCCAGTGTTGACTTAATTCCCTTTTTACACAACAGGGCTTAGGCGGCCGATAAGGAAAGTGGGATTGCTCACTTTGCCACTCTGTCATGCCTTTGCCATCCTGCCCCCATGGCCCTGGCTCAGCTCACTCTGTGCCCTGGGGTGGGTCTGGGGGGCACAGGGCAGGTGGAACACGGGCTGCTGTGCACTGCAGAGAGCCCTTGGCTGTGCTGGGGCATGGTCCCAGCCTGGGGCTGCTTTTAGCTGCTGCCAGCTGGGGTGACAGCTCCTTGTGCCCCGGCTGTTTGGTGCAGGGAGAAGGAACACAAAACCCATCTTATTTTCATCCTTCTTGCTCTTCTGGCCCCTGGAGGAAGCAGTGGCAGCCCAAACCCTCTCAGCAGCTTTGCACAGAGGGGTCAAGGTGCAGAGGCTGAGGTCTGGCTTTGCAGGGCAGCCCCGTTGGTGCTCAGAGCTGCGCTGGGCTCTGCAGGTCCAGGCTGGAGCAGAAGGAGCTCTGTGCTTCCTGGGGG